GACTGGTGCGAACCATAGCAATGGAGAACATGTTCGAGATTTATGGAGCGTCAAAAACTATCCTTTATATCGCGCCACAATGGGAGTCAACCGTTTCTGTTCGATATTGCGGTTCCTAAGATTTGACGATAAAAACACTCCTGCAACACGCTTACTAACTGATAAAACAGCACCGATCAGTGAGTTGTGGACGATGATGAACAATAATCTTGCTGCACATTACAAGCCCAGCTCATGCTTGACGATTGATGAACAATTATTTCCTTACCGTGGACGCACACGGTTTACGCAGTACATACCGTCAAAACCTGCTAAATATGGTATCAAGGTTTGGTGGATTTGCGATGCCACAAATGCATATCCACTGCATGGACAAATATATACTGGCCAAGCAGAAACTGGTAGGGAAACGAACCAAGGCGAACGAGTGGTGAAGGATTTGTCTGCCAAATACCAAGGAAGTGGCCGAAACATTACAATGGACAATTTGTTTACGACCTTGCCAGTTGCAGAACTGCTTCTCACCTGGAAACTCACGATCGTTGGAACTTTGCGCAAAAACAAATCATATATTCCTCAAGAAATGAAGCAGAACAAAAACAGGACAATTGGTTCAACGACATTTGGCTTCAAAAATAATGTGACAATGTGCTCTTATGTTCCCAAAAAAAATAAAGCAGTAATTTTGCTTTCGACCATGCATAATGATGCTGAAATAGCTGACAGTGGGAAACCTGAAATAATTGAATATTATAATCGTACCAAAGGTGGTGTTGATCGAATGGACCAAATGTTTGCGGAATATCCAACACAAAGACAAACAAAACGATGGCCACTAGCGATGTTCTTCAACATGTTGGACATTACAGCTCTTGCAGCCTACATTGTCTACGATTTGAATAACCCTATGTTGCCTTGGAGGACAAACAACAAGCGTAAGCAGATCCTGCGCAGCTTGGCTGAAGCATTGTGTATGCCCATTATTGAAGCCAGAGCCATAAGTCGTCAAGTGACGCGAAATTTTTCGACTAAAATTGCTATTGAAGCATATTTCAACCGACCGGTGGAATCAATGGTGTCAACAGCAGCATCAACATCTGCCGCAGCGCGTACGCCAAAACCTGTGTCCGGATCTTGCTATTTATGTTACGCACAAGAGGAAAAACGCCGTAGAAAAACCAGAAAGCTGTGCGACAAATGTAAGAAGCCAATGTGTCTTGAACATTCGGTCACATCAACAAATTGCTCTATTTGCCATGATTTTCCTTAGATATAAGATGCATTTTTATAATAAAAGTCAATAATATAATGTGTGAAATGAATATTTTTAATTTTTCAAATAAAAAAATAATATAAAAAATGTTTTTTTTTTTATTATTATGAGGATTTTTACTATTGGGGTACAAACGTATCCCGGGTGTGTGTTTACGTATATAATGTGTTTGGAAGGCTGTAGCTCCTGAACCAATGGTCCGATCTGGTTCAAATTTTGAATTTGAACTCAAAACTAAATAATCTTCCTAGCGGTATAGAGGTATAGCGGTTCAAAAGTTACAACACTTCAAAGTTGAAAGTGGATACATTTGTACCCGGGTGTGTGTTCTAGGGTTAACAAGATTTAAATTAAACTAAGATTCTTCAAAACTCATTCAAAATTAAAAATCTTGAAGGATAATATTTTTAAAGGACATTTTTGACATCTCCGTCAATTTGTTTAACTGCGGATATTGGGACCCATGCGAGCACGATGAGGTCATATTTGGGAGTAACAACTCATTTTTTACGGTAAGGCATTTTTTAAATATAGTATTCCAGCACCATCTTAATTATTCTTAAAAATGTCAAGAAATACCAATTTTTTAATACTACCTCCAGATGTTTTATAGGTACAGAGGTGCAATCAATTGAACTTTGCGCGAAGCTTCCTACAAATAGGAAAACTATAGCTAACCTTCGATGCGCTTTTAAAGAAGTCTGCGAAGACTGTAGAATTAATTACGACTCTGTTGTGGCTTACAATTAACCGACGGTGGTTCTAATATAACTGGAGCTGCAAAAGACGAGTTTGGTACATTAAAGCAGGGGTTCCCAAACTTTTTTCACCTCGTCACCCTTGTTGTGCTAAAAAAATTTCGCGGCACCCCTACTTTTCAAATATCTACGAAAACAAGAAAACACAATGCAAACTTTATGTGGACTGAAATTGTTTTGATGATTTCATTATTTCCTTTAAGTTTATTGGGAGCTTTGACAATTTTACCTTGAAATCATTTGACGCTGAAAGCTTGCTGGTGTATTTGTTTTTAAACGACATCACAGAAAGGATAAGGTTATCAATTCGTCGGAATATTTTTTTATTTTTTTTTTCTATGTATGTTACCGCATAACTTTTGACCACGTTAACCGACTACTATAATTCTTTTTTAAAGGAAAGGTGTTAGCTGACAGGTGGTCTAATTTGGTTTAAATCCGATCATTGAATCATTAATAGATTAACGATAATCTTAAATTCTTAGATGGGAATTGAAATCGGTTCTGTTGTTTTTTTTTTTTGCTTAAAAATTACTTGTTTATGTAAGCATTTGTTGAAAATGCAGTCTCGCATAGAAATGTAAAAGTAAGGCCCTTATTATAAGTTGCATTCGAGTGTGGTCGAAAGTGCTGATCGAACGAATTTTCATTTGGTATTATGACGCTCATTCGATGAAGAATAGAGCTATTGTGAATTTCGCTCCGTTAGGTTGTTTACAATAGTATATTTTTCACCGCTGAGAAGTTTTGTTTACAAATCGAGCAAACTAAATAGTATGCTTATACATATGTATGTAAATTTCTGCAAATTAAAATGAAATAAAAAAGAAAGCGAGTTTATAAAAATGTGATAAAAATTAGTACAACAAAGTTCTGGTTCAACGATTCGTCAGAGGATGAGAGCTTGGTAAACTGGCCAGGAGTAGAAAATGTTTAAGAGGGTTTAAGTGTAGTCTTTCGAATATATTTTGACATAAAATATATTTAAGAAATTTGTCTACATATTTATTAAAAACTTCCGACTGTCTAAAGAGGCGTTTGTGAGTCAAATCAGTTTAAAATATTTTAAAACTATCAACAGCTTACGATTTCGTTCTCAGAGATCATGCCAACTGAGTATTGAGCTTTTCGTTCACAAGTAAAACCAACCTTTCGAGCTTGTGTTTAAAGCAGAATATACACAAGCAAACTTGTCTGTACTACATGTCAAGTATGACATACCGTCGCATGATGGATAGGCGGGTGTGCACACCAAATTTTAGGAATGTATTAGAGGTTTACGCCGACAGGCTTTGCGGCGGCGGCGTGGTCAACTTCAAAAATATTCGGCGGCGGCGGCGACGCCGGCGCGTCTGGAAACGCCGGCACTACTGCTCATAAGGTAGATTTCAAAGAGCCATGAGGCTAGTAATCTTATCATTTCAACTCGTCAGCGTTAGGCATTCGCCATGCCAATTATTCTATTATTATAATTCTATTTATTTCATTATTGAATTAGTTTGAAATTTAAATATTGTTACTTCCTACTTAAATTAAAATGTTGAGTGTCTGGCGCAGATTGATGGCCGAACAGAAAAAGGTCTGAGGTATATACATTAGACTGTCCCAAGAATATATAGAAAAAAACTTGTGTGCAAATTTTGATATGCATACCCTCTATATTTGTGCTTTTTAGCCTAAATAGCATATATATGAAGTTTTATGGACGTAGGCTAACGATAACCCGTGCCGAGTTTTAGTTGAAGATTTAGTTAATAACTTGAACTTAGACTGCCAAATCGTCCATGAAAACTTTGGAAATGCAATAAATTCGAAATGTTTCCCATATTTGAACGCATTTCTAGTAAATCTGCATCTTTAAATTTTTAATAGGACGACAGGATTTCTCCCAAGGACATCGAAAAAAATAATTAATCGAAAAGTATAGCGGCTTTTTAACGGTGTATTACAAGGCTGCAAAACGATATGTTTTCTAGTCGAATAATTTGTGTATGTCCTGAAGAATTGCAATTGTAGAACATTTTTTTAATAGGTGTGACAGGGCGTATGATGAACATTAAATTATTAAATTCAACTTGTATTACAAATTTTTTTCTTCATTTAGAAAAATACCTTTCATAATATTAAATAATCAAAATAAATCGTTTTAGTCTTTGACATGTCCTCTCGGGTTGATATAATGGTTGTACTTCCGTATGACATAAAAAAAATTTAACTAAACATAATTTCCATATCGTACTGATTTACAACAGTTGAACAGCCTGAAGGGACATATAAGATAAGAAAGCATATGATTTGGTTCATTTAATAAGGCATTTTTTTAAGAAAAAGGAATGTAGTAGAAAAGTTGAATTTAATAA